GAAGGCAGAGGCGGGGACATGTGGAAAGTAAAGGATCCCTGCACTGCCTCCTCTTCTTCCTCCTCCTTACAGCTAGCTGGGCAGGCAGAAAAGGACACGCTTACCTCTTGCTTATATCGACTCTTTCTATTCGTTATTTGAGTAGCGAAAGCAGATATTAAGCTCGAGTCTCTGCAGCCTCATGTACTGGACTTGGAAAAATACAAGAGGTGTCAAGCAGAAAACAATGCTCCCTTCTAATTTTGATGTCTGCTTTCCTTCTGCTGTGCGTTAAGTCCACAGCCTAGTGGATTCCCATCGGAAACTAGCACCTAACTCTTTGGTGTACGCACCTCTCTCTTCCTGATGGATTTTACAAAAAGAGAGATCTGTCCCATATTTGTAATTGTTAATTCCCACTGTTGCTGCTCTCACAAGGACTGTGCTAAAGAGGTAAGTAAGAATTTCAGCTCTGTGAAGTGTGTGTAGCCACAGGACAGGATTCTGGGGGTGAATCAGAATTCTTGACAAATCTGCTAAATGCTTTACATTTGTATAGCTTGGGTCTTCAGCTCTTAAACTTGACTGTGCTTTTTTCCCTGTAATTTTTTAAAACGTAGATTAAAATCCTGAACAGCAAGGCTAGAACACTTATTGCTTCTGCTATTTTCCACCTGTGTTGTTATTCCAAATTGACTTTTTTAAAATTTAGGATTGCTGAGGGTATGTAACACTTCCTCTGTCTTCATTTTGGTTTGGTGTAAGAGTTATACAGCACTGATTGTACCTTCTCTTATGAAGTAAATGATATTTTCAGTATCTCTTGCATTACAACAAGATGCTAAACCACTGACCTGGTAATCTGGTGATCTGACTAATGCAAAATACTACGTGTTTCCAGGCAAAAATTGTGAAGAGGTATTCTGGGTAGCTTGTACTTTGGTGTTTAAAGTATCTTGAAAATCTAGTGTTTTTAAGAGTACCTAACTTGCCTTTAATGAATCAAATAACCATATAAATTTGGATGTTGAATTTTGGAACACACTTTTTTCACCTGATTAAGATCTGATAAAATCACAATCTCTACCACATCTAAGATAAGTGAAATACGAAATCTCTTAATACTTCTCTTACAGTTTTCATGTTAAGCATTAGTTTTGCGTCAGTTGTGCTTTGTGCTACCTACATATATGCCCATATTTAAGAGGTGCTCTCAAAATGTAACTGTTCAGTGGGTTTTATTTTAAGTTGGCACTTCTTACAGAAGAAGCAGTCCTGCCCTTGTTAGCTATCGCACTGTCACTTTCCTTCTGTAAGTCTGAGAGCTAGCGCAAAAAAGTAGGGAACCAGATTGGGGAGCTTTCACTTGCTGGAAACTCCTGCGGGCTTTTTTGGTCGGATTTGTTTCAAGTCTGATAACCACCATGATCTGGTTCATTATGCAGCTGTATAAATGCGTGTGCTGGCAAAAGGGAGGAAATGACCTGAGTGTGGGAATGGGAGATGGAGAACAGGAGACTTGCTTTCATCAGCACTGCCAGTTCATGCTATTTGAGATGGTAGCTTAAGAAAATGTTGGTGGTTTTCACGTGTGCCTGTTATACCTATCTACACT